GGAGCGCCTCGGCATGGAGCTGGAGGAGGAGTGCGGTGAGGCTGGCGTGGGGGCCCGCCGGCGGGACGGGGACGGGAGGGGAAGGCGGCCGCCGCCTCCGCTGCGGGCAGGGTCCGGCCCCGGCCTGTCCCGAGCTCTCTGTGTCAGAGCCGAGCGGGCTCCGCTGGGTCGGTGATTATTTTAACTAGGCCACTGTTACACGTGGTTTCCACACCCGGCTGCTTCTGGTGCGGGTGGGGTCTGGCCTTTCGGATGTACCTGGATGAAGTGACTTAATTTGGTTAAAGGGTTGCTCCTCTCTGTAGCTGTTGTCTCCGCTGACTCCAGAGGGAGGTTTTCAGGGTTGTTGGGGATTTGCAGCATGGCTAGGGACGGGGATCTCGTTTGCTGCGGTGGCTTTGCTCGTTGCAGCCTTGTGTTAACTGCAGCTATTTACATGATGAAGCCCACTCCTGTGATTTTTCTGTTCGCTGCTTTATGTACCGTGGTGAAGGCTCTCCTCATCCTCTGGTACTCACCCCTGTCTCCTTCCCTTTACTGGTAACACACTTGGTCTGATCTTGTGTTGAGGCGGTTCACTGAGAAGCCACTTCTGATTGTTCTTGTAGGGGCAGCTGAACCAGTACAAAGCTTGTCAACCCTTCTTAATGATAAAGTCTTTAGTTTTCAGCTGTTCTAATGACCTGAACTGGCTAATGAAGGTCAGAGCTGCTTACAAGTGGCAGAGCTGGCAGCAGCGGCACTGCACAGCTGAGATAGAAAGAAGTATTTGGTCTGTCCTTCCTTTCTTCCTAGTGGCTCACAGCATGAAGTCTGCTCACTGTGAGTTGTGGAACAACATCTTAACTGTCTGGGCTGATGGAGCTCCCAACCCTGGCTCTTGAGGCAACTGAGCACCATTACATGTGTAAGAGAAGGGGGGGTGTGATGGCAAGGGAGAGGCTAAAACAGCAGCAGCCATACTTAGATCTGTTTAAGCTACTGTATAATCAAATCCTAAACGTGCTAAAAGCTTGTGAAAAAAAAGAGCAGCGGAGCACAAAGGATGACAGAAAGCAGAAAGGTACACAGTGGCTTCATGGTGTGTACCCCACACACAAACAGCACGCAGCTGTGTCATCTTCTGGCTGCCTCTCTTCCTTCACTGAGGATATCTAAATGTGGGGTTTTTAATAGAGGTATTCATATTTATATTTTATCGATAGATAAGTTACATCACATATGCACTCATGCTGCTTCACTGTTCAGTGCCTAGATTCTTAGGTGTTTTAGCTGGTTTAGTAACTCCTCAGCTTCTAAGTAATTGCATGACATGAAAAATGTCGTTTAGAAGTCACGTGCACCATGTTAGGCATGCTGCTTCTTCAGAAACGAAGCTAAATTGCCTGGCATTCTTCCCCCAGCAAAAGTAGCTGTAGATCAAAAAAGCTGTGGTTCAGACTGACACTGCTCCTGAGGGCACTGGTGTGAGTGTCGTCATCCCAGATTCTCCTCTAAGATAGCTGGAAAAGTGCTGCTGTTCTCATTCACTTTGAGTAAGTGTGGTTACCTACCTAATAAGGTAACTTAGAGAGGAGTTATGCTCAGTGCTACCGACTATTCTGTCTGTTTTGACTAACATTCCAATCACCTCAGACTTCATAATTAATTTTCTTGGTTATGCAAAACCAGATGCCTGCTTTTAATGAGTGGTTTCAAACTAAGAACAACTGGTTTAACTCCCTGAGATCACAGCCCTGATGTGGTATGGTTGTTTTTTTTCCCGCTTCACTGTGTTAGTGATGCTAGATCTTGTCTTTTAATTAGTTTTGGGTTTTTTTTTTTTCCTCTCTGTTCAATTAGATGTTTTGGATCCAGAGAGATTAATACCATGTCCATATAATAAACATCATCAAATCAGAGCCTGTCGTTTTCCCTATCATCTTGTAAAGTGTAAGAAGGTAAGCTGAGCAGCCAAACAAGGCATTAAATGGGAGTAATTCTGTGCGTGGTGTCATTCTTGTTGCATTTTCCGGCTGGCCAGAGTAAGTTCCTGACAAATAGCCTTGTTTAGCCTTTATTTCATACAACTTTATTATTTGGTTAGTAATAGCTTCAAACATGTGTTAATTCACCTGAGACCAGTGTGGCTCTGGTGAAAGGAGATGGATATTCTTCATAGTTAGGTCAGGGAGGAAATTCTGGTCTCTTCCAGCAGAACATTTTACCACTTAAGTTGGAGAGAGAACTCAGTCTGAGCTATGTGCACCCCTTCTGGCTCGTCAGAGTAGAAGTGTTCTGAAGTTGGAATTCATTTGAGTGCTGGAAATGCAGCTGCCTAGCAGAGGGATTTTTTTATGTTTTCCTAAAAACTATTTAATGTGCATCTGGCAGAAACTGCACATCATGGGCTCCACACATATGGAGAGGGGGAAAAAACCTCTCCCATCTTTTATCCAGAATTTGAGTACAAATCACTTAATAGGAAGCATTTTTTCCTCTTCTCCGCTGTTTGTTTTCTTTAAACCAGCCAAGTGCTAGCATCTGACTGGACTGGGATTTTGCTTAGACCTTTTAAAACCCGCTTGTTCCTCTTTAAGTTTGCCAATGTCTTTTTAAAATAATACAACAGTGCTGTGCCTTCCAGTTAAGATGAAGTTGTAAGGGGTGTGTCCTGGTATTGGTACTTATAAACAATTCATTTTGGTAGAACTAGAGCCTTAAAAATATTAAGTAACTAGTGAAAGTCGTGGGCAGAGTGGTGGCAAGTACCTCCACCTTTCCAACATTCAAAAGTGCTGAAGTTTTTGTTGTTGACCTGCTGTAAATTGTGGCAAGAATGTGCACATGTGCTAGGTGAATAGTATTGGCAAGTAGACTCTTAACCATGCTGGTTTTGCCCTTGTATTGCATAACTGAAGGCCAGTTTTGGCAAGCTTGCCTAGTTAGGAGGGTGAGGTGAGATAATGATCACCAATCAGACACAGTTGGTGTCTGTAAGTAATTAGCGGAAGGGCTCAGGAATTATCATCTGATCCATCTGAAGGTGCAACTGTCTGATTATTTGCAGCAGCAAAAATCTGGATGGAGATTGTCCTTGCTTGGTAGTTTGTTGAATTTCCTTTGCATATCCTATGCTTAAAATCCAGTTAAACACTTACATCTGCTTCAGCTTCCCATTGCTTTGTGCAGAATGCAGTCCTGCCACACAAATGGGGACACTGCAGGCAGAGCAGCTTGACTCCTTCCAGCCTGAACTGTGTTAGCGTTGAGAAGCTGCTGTTATGTGGCCAGAATAGCTTACTCAAGCTAGTTGAAGCAAATGATGGACACATGAGGACACGGCAGCCCTGGCTGTGCAGACCAGGTAATCACAACTGCCCTGGATGTGCCTGTGGCCTGTGCTACCATCAGCAGGAATGAGCAGCATCTGTACAAGGCCCTTCTGCCTCCGCATCTGCTGCGGGTGCAAGTCTGATCCCTGACTGCCAGAGCTGCGTCAGCCAGAACCAGGCAGGCACGGGTACAGTGGCAAAGTTGTGTTTTACCCAGTAAAGTCTGTATCATTTGCATGGTCTGGGCTAACTTACCGTAGTGACAGCTGATCACTGCCAGTAGAACCTGTGTCTGTGGTAAAGTTTTTGTTGAATGGTGATCCTGTACCACTAAAGTCTGCAGGTGGAGTGCTACCGACTCCCTAGCTGTTTTGAAAGGTTTAAGGAATTTCTCAGCCTTTGTGCCTGCTTATTTAAAAAATTGTTATCTGAATAGTTTAGTTTTGCCTGACATCTGCCCCCTGTTGTTTTCAAAATAGTTTCATCCGTGCTTTAAACCATGCAGCCATACTGCCAGTTGCAGCAAATTGTAGGGAGTTTAGCTGAGAGTGTGTTTCACTTCAGTCAACTCAAGGGTGGCTGAGTTTCTGAGTGAATTGTGTTTTAAAGAACAGTCATGTTAGCTTCCTCCTGCATTTTTAGTAAATGTCTGAATATATTGCCATTACCTTTTTAGTCTTTTTTTTTTTTTTAAGCGACATCACAAATATCCTTGGGTTTTTTTCTATAGGTTAGCAAGAGATAAGTGAACTTGAGGGATATGGCACATGATTTTGGTTTTCCCTTGTCTAGAGCTACCCTGAAGTTGCAAAGACGTTGGCCACGTGCCCCTTCAATGCTCGCCATCTAGTTCCTCAAGCTGACCTAAGCGATCATGTATTGAAGTGCAGTGACAAAGGGTTAATTGAGCAAGATACAGGTAAGAGAAACACCTGTGCTGAGATGTTTGTTCACCCTGGAGGCTGACATCTCCTGTTTGTAAGGATAGCTCATAGAATAACCAAAAAATGGGAGTCAAGTTATTGTCTATAGTTTTGTGTGACTCAGCAGCATTGGGAAAGCTTGAGTCTGACTTGCTTTGATTTTTTTGTTAGGCTTGTGAGAAATTGCAGATGCTCCCAGTGGACCTTGCACGTATGTTACAGGGCTCGTTGAATAAAAAGGTTGCACACTAGTCTGTGCATGTTGAAGTACCTCCAGAATGACCAGAAGGACAGACCCTTCTTTTTGTAGAGCTGATCTTCTTTTGTTTAGGCTTGACCACTGCTGCTATGTGAAAAGTTCATTTCACCAAACAGATGTCTAAGCTGTGGAAAGCCCTGCAGCTGTTCTCCAGGGCAACCTGAGTACTTCACTGAGGATGGGGCAGCCCCTCTTACAGGCTCCTCTGCTGCTGCACTTGCATCTTCTGCCCTTCAATTAAGATTGAAATCTTCTGTCCAGTGGGAGAGGGGGCTGTCCAAAACCCCCAAAATATTTAGGAAGGCATCCTGCGCTACACAGTATATTTTCCATCCCCTGCAGTGGCTCTTTAACTATTGCCACACTACAGAGCAGGTAGATAGTTTTCAGTGCAATTGTTGCACTGAGGCTAGCAGTGATGCCTGCATTCATGTAAGCATGTTTCCACTGCATTCAAGCATTCCTGGACATAAAGTTCAGGGGGCAGAGGCTCTTCCTTTCCATTGAAAAGTTGCTCGATTTCAGATCAGTACCTGACTTCTGGGTGTACCTAACCTGTCTGCATTGTGCAGGATTTCCTCTAAAGCCAAGAGGTGTTTTACAGCTTGATCCAGAGCACTTAATGTCTCTGAAGCAGGACTGACAGCTAGTCATTGAGTTTTTTCTCTCTTCCTGAAGAAAATTGGTCCTCCGGCTTCCAGAGAGAGCAGATGAATGCAATGAGCACATGGCAGGCACCTCCATGTGAAGAAGACTGGGAAACAGGTGAGGAAATTCCCCATCCACCATGCTGCTGCCTTCATCCTGGTCCTATCCTTCAACTCCACTTGGAACCATGTGAGTCCAGAGATGCTGTTCACTTGTTTCTCACTTGTAGGACACCATGCTTATGTTCATTCCTAAAACCACACGTTTCTCCACCCAGCAGGCTTTTCTTGGTATAAAGAACTATTGAAGATGCCTGCCATAACTGGCATGGGGATGTGTTTCCAAGAATCTCCTTCTAGTGTAAGCTTTTGTACCTTATGTGCAATGATGACAATGGCAACATAACTTTTTATGTTCCTCGATGAAATGATAGTGAAGCAGATACATTCACCACTAGATCAACTTTTACTCCCTCTTGAACATGTAGAAATATGACAGAAATGTTCCTGATCTGGCGGTGGTCGCTGGAGTTCTGAGCCACAGCATCTGTTTCCTTTTGCAGAGTTGTCAGAGCAGTCAAATTTGCCTTTTGTTTGGGGCATGATCAACTCTGGCATAAACAGGTAGGGAATGCGAGTTTGATTCCTTACAACAACATTGTGTGTAGAGCAGTATTGCAGCCCGCTCCCAGCCCAGCCTTGATGGCTGGTTATGGGCTGACTTTGCTGCTGTGCAAGCCCTGGAAGGACAGATACTGATGGTGGATGTTGTTAGGGTGCTGCTTTGGGCTTACTTCCTTTCTCATATGACTGGCCCGTGGGAGAGGAGGAAGCCCTTAGGAACACAGATACTCTGCTCTCACATGCATGTGGCAGGGTGCTCTTCCTGCCCGTGGCCTGTGCTCAGCTCCTGCTGGCTGGCTGGCCAGTGTGCAGCAGTGAAAATTGCTCAGCCCTTATGCTGACTTTGTAAGTGTGACCAGGTGCCTCCCTCTGGAGCCTTTTCAAACAGTTGCTGAGCTGCTGTAGAGCTAGTGGTTAGCTAGCAGGCCCTTGTGACCTCCTGTCACCTGAGACTTGGCAGATGTGCTGGCATTAGGGCCCTATGTTAGCAGAAATCTCCCCCTCTTGCCCTTTGCAAAGTGTAATCAGTTTGGTTTAGGGGAGTGAGGAGCTTAATGGCCAGCTGCTAACTGGGTGGAGCTGCCTTGACTGGTTTCATTGATCTGACAGGCTGTGTACAAGGTGCAATGGCACCACCAGCCTTGCCAAAGCATGGTTTAAGGTTCGTCTAAGCCCATATGCAAGAGCAGTCCTGTGCTTGATAGCTCTGCAGTTCTGTATGAGCTCAGCCATAATATACCTCCCCTTCCTTAAGGGGTGGCAGCAGCACTATCTGTTTTCACTTGTTCCGCTTCTGGGGAAAACTTCTGGTGTCCAGAGCATGTGGAGCTCTGCTAAGCACCATCACCTCTCAGTGGCAAAGTACTATCCCCTTACGTCCCTGCTCTCCTCCGTGCTATAGTAAAATGCATAAATTTGAGCAAGTACATTTGTTGGGAGAAGTAACTGAAGTCTTTCAGTTCCAGTACCACCTCTGAACAGAAGAATTGCTTGCCTTCAACAGTACGTGCCCCTGCATCCTTCCCAGATGCCATCTTGTTGTAAGTACCATGCCCCTGGTTTGGGCACTGTGACTTCTCTAGATTGTGTGAGTCGCTGAAATCTCTGGCTGCAGCAGTGCTTTATGTGCACCACTGCAGGGACAGGAGAGGTAGTATAGAACACCTGCCTCCCTGACCACACTTCTAAAGGAATCTGATGCTTGGATCATCCTCTGTATCTTTTCTTTGAAGCATCCTCTGTATTCTTTATTTCATATTCTTGACAGGCCCTTCATTACAGTGGTCCAGTTTAAGCAGCCCTGCTCCCCAGCCTCTTTGACTCTGTCTCTAAACAAGTCCTTTCACACTATCTACTCTAACCCCTTTCACCCCCCACCCTCCTCCCCTGCTTTCAACCAAATTATTTCCTTGCTTTGTGGAACTCTGCTGTCAGACATAGCTAAGTCAGAGCAGAGGTAAAACTAGAGCTGCTTAAACGAGCACTACTGGGAAAAAAAAAAGTTATCAAATTCTATCTGGAGGTGAGAGGGAGGAAGCTTCCCATGTTGAAGTGTCTGATGCTGAAATCACACACCATTCTTTGCCATTAGCAGCAAAGCAAAAGCTTAAAGGTGCTTGTAGATAAGCCTTTTTGCCAAGGTGACAAGTGCTGATTCAGCACAGACCACTGTCACTTGGAGGAGTGGAGGAAATTCTTGTATTTTTCTCTATCTCATGCCAAAAATGTTGTGTCTTGTCCTTTTCAGAGTTTGGAGCATTAGCATCTCTTTTCCCCCTGGAAGTTCATTCTCCCAGCACTAAATTGCTCCCCTTCTAGGACAGTAGAGCTCCTGCAGATGGCAGATACTCTCTGAATGTGATGGCAGGACTCTGTAGACTTGGCTGTTGCTGCAGGACATGTTTTTGCAACATCTGAGTTCATAAAAGCATCCTTGGTTGCCAAATCTTTTCCCCAGGAATTTGTTTCATAGGTTACCCTCATCTTCATTTGGTGATATTTGTTAGACAGTTACTGAGTAAATGGACTGATAAATTTACACAGCACCAACTCAGCAGCTTTCACTCCTGTAGCAAACAGGAAAACTACAGGAGTTAGCAAGTCTGTTGGTTTACTTGTCGAATGGTACTGCTGATGATCTGTGATCTGTGAAGTTGTTTTGTTTGCTCCAGTGATTTGGGAAGAGCAGGAGAACTTCTGAAGTGGTGATGGCTTTTAAGGGGTGGGCAAGGGGGCTGATTTTAGGTATAGAAGGTACCATCTGAGGCCTGAATAGGTTCCTAATCAGAGGAGTGATGATGGGAAACGGAACAGCAATAGGGGTTGCACATACCACTTAAATCCTGTCCCTTAGCTTGATGCTTTAAAATAAGTGTGAGCGTTTGCAAAAGAGGCCCCTTCAGAGTTGTGTGATGAGGTTATGTGCAAGCTGTAAAGGTCAGGGGCAGGGGGGAGGAAATGCCTTGCAAAAATGCCAGATTTTTCTGAATTCAGGCCTTGGGGTAGCAGGAACTATTACAGTCCCATTTCAGTGGAAGTCAAGAAGCACACAACAGTGATTTCCAGGAATTTCTCCCTGCACCATAACCATGTGTCTTGCATCTGCAAAGCAGCACTACTTATTACTGTTCTTAGGATTATATGGTGTCTGGAGTGAATTCTGTGGAACCTTTACTGGGCATTTGTGAGAACATTTGGTTCTTTGCTGGGGAGGTGCTGTGGTCATAACACCTGTAGCTAGCAAAGTCGTATTTGAGGTCCTGTTACAGCCTGGAGAGCATAAAGTAAGTTCTAAGAGTTTCTCCAGCTTGTAAAGAGGCTGAGACTTCCTACTGCATAATGTTTAATTAAAATCATCTGCATCAGCCAGACTGATACAAGGAAATGATCCCCTACTTTGCAACTTATTTACTTATAGCAACGTATAATGATTTCTGAATATTGCCTAAGAATTGCTTGCCCTGGCTGTTTTGTGGAAGCTTACCAAAGGCTACTGTGTTCATCTAAACAAAGCATTTTCTGTGGAAACCTAGCAAGAATTTCTATGTTCAGCAAAAATAAGAGATGTGTCCTTGGAAAGCAGATGGGTTCTAACATGTTTATGGATAGATAGCCATATATGGGCAGTAGAAATTAATAGACTGGTGCTTTTAGATAAGATAGAGGTGGTAAACCAGCTGGAACCACTCTTGTTGTTCAAGAAATTGGCTGAGAGAATCTGCACATGTTTTGAGGAAAATTACAAGGTGAGGAGGACTGAGAGCCTTCCTCCAACAGACCCCGGAGACACCCACCAGGAGGCAACGCGCAAGTACAAAGAGAACATCAATTGCTGACACCAGCATCTAGAGCTAACCCAGCCTCACTCATGCACGTGGATATTTGTGTTGTGTAATCCAATGAATATGGATTTCCACACTCGGTAAGCTTTTGGTAAAATGTGCTGTTTGGGGTGCAAGGTTTGTGGAGAAATCCCCTTGCACCCCGGCCCCAGAGTAAACATACAAACATACCTGCTGTGTAACTCTGTTCCAGTTGTAGAGTCTGTTTTCCACAAATCAAGACCTAGAAGTACTTTTTCTGTTCATGCACTTTTTCCTTTTTATTTTGACAGCATCTGAGTTTGTCCACATAGGATATGTAAAGTGGACAATTTTGGTTTTAAACCACATTGTCATTTACAGATACTTCTGTCTTCCTAGAAAGCATCCTGATCGCACCTCTGCAGCTTCCAGCCTTAACTTTGTCACATGGATGGATGGTGCTTCAAGTCCTAAAATAATGGAGAATCCTCTGTGAATTGCCTGCAGTGTGTACAATACCAAACACATTGGAAACATTCACTGGAAATTGAAAGTGTATCCTTAAGTACTTGTCTAGTTTCCATCTGAGTTCTGTAGTTTTTTAACACTTACAACATGTTTGAGACTTGTTAACAACTGTTCTTTGTTGGAGGGGCAGGCAGGGAGGGAGCAGGAATGGTTTAAATCACTAAAAATACATGTTTAGGGCTGTGTAAACGTTTGGATCCAGCAGTATATTTCTAAAAATGGATGCAAAGTACAAAATGGCATCTAAATGCACAGAGAACTAAGAAACCAGACATGGTGTTTGTCTAGAAAGAAATTAATGCCTTTTACATTTTTAAAATACAGAATTTCCATTTGTATTACTACCAGTGTAAAATAATACATGTCGATTAGAATGTGCAAAGTCAGGATTATTTTTAAATTTGGTTCTGTTGAGATTCTTGTTGGCAATTTTGAGTTAAAAGGTTGTGAATACTGTTGGACCCACTTTATATTTTGAAGACATCTGCAGTGATTTGTTATACTCTTGTTCTGTTGAATAAATAAATGCTTACACAGCCCTCCACTTGAACTTTGATTATTGTTGTTGTTGTTGACACTTTGAATGAAAGTGGTGACCAATGTCAGCTGTTTGCTTGTTCCTGGTTTGACTGCATTATAATTTCACAGATAGATGCCATAATTGGGCCTCATTATCCTGAGCTCATTTAATTGCTCACAGGTGGAAGACTGCCAGTACTTAGAGCAGTAACTACCTGATTTTTGCTGGGTCTTGCCTCCTGCCTGCGCTGCAGAGGAGCTTTGCCTGCACCTGCTCCCAGGACCTGCCCTGTCCCAGGGCCCAGCACTGTTCTCCCACAGCCCAGCCCTCTGGGAAAGGACCAGATGGGCCTGCAAGGTCATGGCTGTGACTTTAAAACATCCCCTGGGTGCAATACTCAGGGATGGGGACCACAGGAGGTGGGTTTGTCTTGTAGGTGTAGCCAACACATGGCAGAGCTCCCAGTTCTGAAATCCTGCATCTTGGGCAGCTTCCTCAAACCACTGCCTGTGAGAAGGAGACCTGCCATTTCACTGTTCCCTGCAAGATTAGCAGGCTTTTAAGGATGTAAAACACAAAGATGACCTTTCTCCAGCATTATGGCTATTTTAAATCCCAGTGGCGTCTTACCATTGGGCTGTTGACTCCCTCTGATTTGTATTTACCCCAGGACAAGGCCAAATGGCACCCGCTCCAAGGTTACATGTGACAATCGCTGTGGTCACAGCCACATATTCCCTTGTTAAATCCCCGCTGTCTCTTGTCATGGGCAGGTCCTGCAGTGCTGCAACCTTCATCCCTTCCTGGGAGGCTGAATGTGTCCCTTGCCAGGAGAAGCTGCTGGGATGTAGGAAAATACCAGCTCCTTTTGGCCGGCTGGGGAGGGGCTGGAGCACATGCCTGGGTGAGTTTCCCCCAGCCTGAGCTGCTGGGTAGCTCAGCAGTGCTTGTGCTCGCTCTGAGCCCTGCTGTGGGCACTCCTGGCCTGCTGGGCCACCTCTGCCCTGTCTGAGCTACCAGCCCTGTGGCCACAGGACTGGACTGACTAGAAATGCTGATGGAAAATGGGATAGAAATGCTTGTGTCTGCAGTTGTCAGTGGTGATTCAGGAGAGAGGGAAGGAGACATCATTTACCTTCAGGTGCAGATTCCTCCATGTTGGGGAGCTGGACACGGGAGTTCCTTGTTGTTTCTCCTAGTGCCCGCAGCCCCATTCAGTGCCTGATGGGTCTCCCAAGCCCTTGGTGCAGCTCCTGCCCCTGCAGACATGTAGCGCTCTGCTTCGCCCCTGTGGTCACTGGTTCTGCACTGGTCTCGCACTGGCAGGCTCAGCCTCTGCTACAGGACACCCCGTGCTGTTTTGGAGCCCCCCTGGGGCTGGAGCACAGCCGGGTGCACAGCCCATGTGGATCAGTGGGGAACCAGATCGCTTGCGCCTTGCAGGATCTCTGCTCCCCGGGGGCTGTGATCTGGTCAGCGCAGCCGCCTCCTGGCAGGTCCCCCCGTGGGGGCCTTGGCTTGCTGGATCCTTGCTGAGTCAGACCCTCCTCCACACCTTGGAGGGCTGGTCTGGGGTGCCCAGCACCTCTCTGCTTGGCCACTGGCTGCAGCCAGAGATGGGACACCATGAACAGGGTCTTCTGCCACTTCCCTGCTGTTCCCACCTGCAGGATGCAGCATGTGCTCTCCCTCAGCACAGGAAAGATGTGTCCTTTCTCTTCCCACCAGTTCCAGAGTACTGGGGAAGGGATAAGCCCCTTTCCACTCACACATGGCCAAAACCAAGCCTGCACACAAACTCGTCTATTTTTTACTTTGTTATCTTGAGGGAAGAAGGTGGAGGTCTACCTTTAGCTGCACATCTCGGGGTCAAGGTCTGCGTGGACGGGTTTGGTTCTCTCAGACTGACCTCTGGCACCCATCAGTTTGCACTACTGAGGTCTCGGCCCTTCGTTGCTGACTCCAGAAGTCCATGCAATCCTCTGGTCACAGCCAGCGGCACCACTTTCTCCTGTTTCCCTCCCATTTCCCCATGAAGACGGTGCCTGTAATCCCACAGAGATGCATTCATGGCTGCAGTGTGTCCATGTGCATTGTTAACATCCAGTGGCATAGTGCTGGAAAAACACACTCCCCCACCTCTCCCTCTCCCAGCAGCTCAGGCTGCCCTTTCCTCAGTGCTGTCTCCAGCTAATTGGGATTTGGGGTAGTTGCATTTGTTTCCAGATGATATCCAGGAGTGCAGCACTTCCCAGTGTCGCCCCATCAATGGGGGCAGGGATCCTTGTTACTGCAAAGAAGCAGCTTTGAACCCTAAATCCTGCTTAGTCAACTCTTGTAACATAATCATGATACACAACTACAGGGTCCTGAACTGTATTGGCTCCTACCCAGTGCAAAGGGGAAGGGGGGGAAAGAAGGAATGAGGAAGACTTTCCATCATGGGGGTGTTTGCAAGCAAGTATAAAGTGCTGGAGGTGGGAGAGAGAGAGAAGGAACAGATCTACCAGGTGAGGCAAGGGAACACCAGCTGAAAAATGCCTCTTCAAACTTGTTCTGGAAGGTGAGCAAGCCCTTAGTATTGTTTTGCCTTTGAAGTTCAGTGTCCAGCTCCTTTGTGCTGTGGGCAGGAAGGCCGGAGGAGAGAGCTGGGTGGTGGTGGGACCCACGCTGTCCAGGGACTCTCTCCAGACCACAGCCTTTGTGTTCCGGCTGTGCCCCGCTCTTTGCAGCAGTAGTTCAGCCTGAGTTACACTCAGGAGGTGCATGTAGCGTTTCCTTTAACTCCTCAGGGAGCCACCTCCTGCTTCTGAACTTCAGGTTCCAGCAAGGTGAGAGGGCCTGGGGTTACTGAAGGCGGCACAAAGTCTCCCTTTTCTGGCAGATCAGGCTCTGGGCCCAGATTTCAATTTTACAGCCAAACCACATTTAAGAAGTCATTTCCCCTTCCCTGGCTTCTAGTCCAGGTTATAACTCATAAACCTAAAAGCTCGGTTTCAGCTTGGAGCTCGTTTACAAGTGCTCGCTCAGCAACAGGCTGAGAATCAAAGCGGTGGCTGCCTGGGCTGCCCTCACAGCTGCAGTGCTGAGCATATTTATTTCAAATCAGTAGCCAAACCGTGCCTAATGTGTCTCCTTAGGCAGCCCCTGACATGCACATTCCAGAGCAGGTAGATGGAAACAGCCCTTTCACCTCCTGCCCAGTGTCTGGGAAGGACCCTCCTCCTCCGAGCTCCCGGCCTCCGGGTGTCTCACGGCAGCGGTTCCTATTCCCTGTTGTGCAGGGTCACCGTGGGAAGGGCCACGGCCATCGTGTCTCATCCCTGCTGCTGTGATGTCCCTGCCCGGGGAACGCTGCCGTGAGCCCCTGGGACTGCAGGTGTCACCCGCTGCGCAGGCAGCCATGCCTCTTGCTGCCACCTGGTCCCGCCTCGGGCTCCTGCGGGAGACTGGCACTTGCACACTCATCCCAGATTCCCGTCCCCAAACCAGGCGGGAGCGCAGGCTCTGCAAACAAAGTCCTTGAGGATTCCTGTAGGGCTCTTCCCTCCTGCCACTGCCCGGCCCCTTCTCTGGCCAGCACCTGAGTTGCTCTGGAGGTGCCTGGTGCCCAAGGGAGCAGCACTCCTTCACGCCGTCCGGCACAGCTGGGGGCTCTGACAACACTCCTGCCCTGTATTTTGCAAGTCTGGTGTCATCTGAACTCCAGCCAGGTCGTCATTTCTACTGCCTATGTCCAGGATGTTGGTGTGACTCACTGTTCTTCTCTGGTACCGGGGCAGTTTTATTCCACTTTGCTCTTAGCTTTTCACTTCCCTAAATCAAGGTGCAAGGATAAACCCAAGAGTGGGAGAAGAACAAGAGCCAAATGATTGCCTGGGGAGGAAGAGGCAGAGTGCTGCCAAGAATCCCCCCCAGGGCTGCAGCAGCTGGTGCTGGCTGGGTACAGGGAGAGCTGGCCCTGGACTGAAGGGGTGGGGGGGG